CGCACCCGAATTCGAGGGCGAAGAGTACGTACCTTGGCATATTCGTTGGAGGCTTCCTGCCACTCCTTGGACATGGTCTTGGGCTGGGGCTTGGCGAAGAGGTGGATGGCATAGAACAGGGCGAAGGAGACGAGGGTGAGCTGGGTGACCTTGAAGAAGACCTTCCAGCCCTCACCCTTAGGGGCCTGGGCACGGGGGCCGTGGGGACCGAAGGCAATCCAGTAGGCTAGAGAGAGGGAGAAGAGATCATGTTAGTGGGATTGGGTATAGATATAAAACACCAGAAAGAGAGGGTATGGGATGACATCCGGGTGGATGAGGGGGTATTGAAATTTGGCCCTCGGATGTCGCAGGGTAGTGGGAAAAGCAGATGCAACGACGAACAAATGCTGCCAGAGGATAATTACGTACCGGCCTTCTTCTCCTGGATGGTCATCTGGTGCCAGTCGACCTTCATGCGGTCACGGAGAGACATCCACAGGTCGGCCTGCTCCTGAGGGGGCATACCCTCCCAGCGCTTCTCGATACCGGCGATGGTAGGGTTGGCAATGGCGTGCTCGGAAGCAAAGCGAGCCTGGATCGAGTTCACAGAGGCAATTGGGCCGGCGCGGATGGCAGCCGGGCTGCGAGGAGCAGCGCGAGCGAGGGAGCGAAGAAACATTGTGCGGCAGGTGGGAGGTGGTGGCACCACGTCGAAATCGAGTTAATTGATGAGGATTGTTGAAGAGGGAGACCGTGACCAGCAAAGTCCGGAACCGCGAGTCGACTCGACTGGGGGAGAGAGTGGAGGGGGTGGTGGTGGTCGAGGGATATGGAGAAGGACTGAAGTTGTTCAACTTGGTCGTTTGGGAAAGTCGAGGTTTCCGGCTTAGCGTCGTTCGCGGTTTGGCTGCTCTCTGATTGGCTGCTCTCCGCCACGCCCGGTTGGCCGCCAGTGAGAAGCATCATCATTCTCATCATACGATATATGCCACAGCAGCCTAGGAATATTGCTTGTCCCGGGCAATTGGGCCTATTCTTTCATTTATTTTTATTTGGCAAAATGTCCTACCCTATTTTATATACATTCTAGCCTCCCTGCCTACTCCCGCCCACCAGTGGCACAGCGGCTCGGTTTGTACTACCACCAGCCACACGACAATCTTGCAAGAAGATAAAGCTATAGGATGTCAAATTGAAATTGCCATTTCCCGAGTACTATCTACAGGTCCCAGGGGCATTTCCCTTTTTTTGTTTTAGAAAATTCGTGCCATTCGTACCCTACCACGCAAAACCTGCACACATCTATCCAGGGAAAACGCTGGACTCAATCTCGCAACCTCAACATCAGCAGTCTCAACAGCAGCGGGGTTAATCACTCCAAAAGAAGAAGAGACAACGGGAGGAGAGATTGCATCGATGGATTCCCATAGGGAAAGGAAACAGGCCAAGTCGTAACGGTCTTTGCATTGCAACTAGGAAGAAAAAAAGAAGAGGGAGAACGGTGTGCAGAGAAGGTTATGGATTGTTCGTGCCGTAGCGCCTCCGAGGGTATGTTATTCCCCTATCGATCACGCGGCCCGGACCCAGCCGGCGCTCATCATCTATTTAGCCTTGCCACCGCTGGCCTCGGCGAGGACGGCGCTCCACTCAATCTCGGACTTGTCGTCGGCGTGGATGGAGTTGGCAACGTTCAGAGCGTTCTTGAGGACCTCACGAGTGCTGGCATACACCATGGATAGCTGAGAAAAGGAAGGGATTAGCAAGGGTTCTCTTTTGGCTCTATGAATCCCATGTAGGATGCTGGGGGTCAATTCCATGGGATTTGAACATACACGAGTGGGGGTGTCTTGGGGAACCCAGGAGATGAAGATGATCTTGCTTCTGTAGTTTCCAACGGTATTAGTGGGGGCGGTTCTCGTTCGGTTGAAGAGAGATATATAGGAGGAACATACCGCTTGCCCTCACCACCACCGAGATCGTACTCGACGTCGTAAGTGGCGTAACGGGGAGCAGGGTTGCCCTTAGCGTCTTTGGCAGAAGCCAGCTTCTCACGGAAGATCTCGTAGTCCTCTTCCTCGCTCTGCTCCTCGACAACAATCTGCTTCAAGTCGTCGGTGATCTTGTAGATGACGTACTTGACCTTGCGGCTCATGCGCAGAGCGTTGAATGCGTCGATGCAGTCATCGTGGACGGAGACACTGTAAATCGAATATCAATGAGGGATTGGTCGTGAGTGGGGAGGGGAAAGAGCTTGGATTGAAAGCGTACCCAGATGCGAGCTGCGAAAGAATTTGCGTTAGTATATTTTGATACAATGCATAAAAAGGAGTAAGAATTATACGAACCGACATGATTGCTTCTGTAGATGAGAGATGAGGAAAAGGGGGACGACCGGTCGCCTAGGCTGAAGGCACAACGATGTCAGCGGCTGAAGCCCCGAAGGAAAAACCTCCATGGCGAGTGGGATAAGTTCCCGGCAGCGCTCATGAATAGATTGCTGGATAAAACTTACAGAGAAGTAAAGACAAGGAAAATGGAGGATAGATGGGGGGGGTGATGGAGGAAGCGGAGGGGATGTTGCCCAGGTGTTGCGATGGTGGGGGGGGATGCTGCACGTGATACTGGGACACCTAGAGGGGGGCAATAAACAAAGCACCGGGGTAAAGTATAACTTGGAGGAAGAATTACGATAAGGATGGTAGGGCGAAAGGATCTGATGCTGATGATTTAAATCTATTTATTGGAGAAATTTATTATTGCCTGTCAGGCATCCATCAAATCTTGACGAGGTTCCCAGCTTTGATTTTGTCCCGCCACAGCCAAAGGTACACAATGTACTTGTACCATAACTATATCTACTATTGCTAAGCACAAGTGTGAATTCCCAGTTCTGCGGCACCGGCAGTAGGTGGAGGATCACACCACCTGGTGAATCTGCATGACATGCTTTGATGTACATGAATCCACAATTTCTACCTGTTGTTCATGTACGGAGTAGTACATGTTTAGGGTCTCCCTGCCTGCAGTCTAAATTTGGAGCAAAGCCCAACCATGGAACACTCCGCCGACACGTCAGTGCCTCCGCAATTTACTGTTCGCACATATGTATACATCCTACTTCTATAAGACACATAAGTATGATGTATCTCCCTTATGTGATTAAATTGCAACATCTCAAATTCATAACACTCATGACATCCAATTCATACCAACGTCAAATATTTAGCTAGGCGTCACAATTAGGAGCACACTCGGCCAATACCGGCAGACCTCTCCAACATAATGAATCTAGCAGCCTAAGCCTTCGGGGCAAATCTGGAGCGAGTGCGATCGGCGACGGCCTTCTCGTTGAAAATAAAATTGACACTCTCATGGGCAACGGTGGCCTCCGCCCACCGCTTGAAGCGTGGGGTCTGCTCCAACAGTTTAGGCAGCTTGGCACTCACCAGACCGTGCTCGGGCTTAGCGAATCCCAGTAAGCGGAGCACGAAGGAACCAGTTTGAACCTGGTGTAGGTGAAATATATCAGCATTATGTCCAGGCATATATGAAGTTTGGAAAGTAGCAAAGGGTAAAGAGGAAGGGAAGAGAGAATGATGACATACCTCGGCCAGGGTAAGCTTATCGCTACCTCCAAAGAACGGGCCCTTGCCCTCTGTCGAAGCGAGCAGAGGCTCGACCTCCTTCTTAACAGCAGCGAGCACGTCCTCAGCAGCAGTGTCACGCTCCGCCTCATTGGTAGCGCGCAGACCGGCGAAGAAAGGTGGGAGAATCTTGCTTATAAATGCATCGACGAAGAGAGAAATGCGGGCCCGGTAGAGAGCGTTCTCGGCCGGGCCTGAAGGAGGGGAGAGATGGGAGGGGTGGGCATCAGCGATGAATTGGGCAACAATGCCGGACTCGATGATGATCTCGCCGTTGTATGACAGGCTGGGAACAAGGCCACGCTGGTAACATATAGGTTAGTACATTCGTATATCCTCGTATTTGGTCTGGGCATGGGGAGGGGGGGAATGGTCCCAAGTTCTTTAACGACGTCACATACGTGGTTCACTTCCAGATACCAGGGCTCGCGGGGAGTGTCGAGGTCAATGGTGACTTCTTCATAGTCGAGGCCGGACTCCTTGAGAGCAATGTGGGCGCGGTGTGCCCATGGGCAGCCGCGGTTTGTATAGAGGATAATCTTGGAGAGAAGACATGGTTTTAATCGGGGGTGGTTGGGATGTAAAGTCGGAACTTGGATTGGATCCAGAAAAGGAGGGGAGACGCCATAATTTATGGCATCGCGAAATCCGGTGGAGGGGTGGATGGATTAGTAAAAGCAAATGGCGAAATCGATGCCGTGGTCGGTGCCCGCTTAACCCCGAGGCGGATAAGAAATGATGCAGAAATGTGGGGGGAGCCGGCCATCCATGGGACTTCCCAGTGGTCCACCCCGGCCTGTCGTGCTACACAGTACATATGTATGCAGATACTAGTACTTTTGGACATGGTAGGGTGCAAGGTCAACTTTTTCAATGAAATTCGAGTCTAATTATGTACATACATTAATGCGTGCACTAAAGGGTATCCCAATATCCTCCGGACTAGAAAGCAATCATCAAATGACCACACGTCGGGGCTCGCGCATCAGGACGGACCCGATGGCTGAGACCGTACATAAGAAGACAGAACGCGATCAAGGCCAGCCTCGGTTGGGGGTAGTGGACCTTGCTCCGTAGCGCCAGCGTCCGGTTTTGCGGGAAATAGATCAAGGAGAAGATAAGAAAAAGGTTAAGAAGGAAAGGACGAGATATGAATCGCCGTAAAATGAAGGGGGGTATATAGAATACGAAGAAAACTGAACACAATCATCCCACCTGCATCGAAGAGGACGGTGGCCAGCCTGGTGGAAAAGGATAGGTGAACTCTTCGCGTAAGCTGGCGCGACGAATGACAATGCTGCACACGCTGTCGTCAAGGCGTAATTGGGCATGAAATCAAGGGAAAGAAAAAGAAAAAAGTTGTTTTCCCTTGACTCAAAGCTCATCTTCATCCTCTGTTATTCCACCTTCAATGATCTTTCGCCAATGTTGTGGAAGGCAGATGCAGACAAGCGGGAATGCCTTGATTTCACCGGAGGGTGCTGGCGATGGACCGGGCCGTTGCGAGCCACTAGAGACACCGCTGTCGCGCTGCTCACGATGAATGTCGTAGTCTTCTGCCCGCTCGGGGATTCGGACACCAGTGGCCCAGCCATCGTCCCAAATACCAATCACCTTGAGCATCTCACCGCGGTCCAGTTCGAACTCATCGCCTGCCCGGGCAGAGTATGCCCACAGGGCAGCCACCTTGTCGCCGGGGTGAATCTCATCTTGGGAGTAGTAGTCGCGGAAGTATGACAGCTGCTCGGACTGACCACTGGTTACACCTTCCGGGGAAGAGTAAGTGTTCGCCGTGCCGGAGCGAGGCGAGCTATCGCTCTCTAGTCCAGCCAGAGCAGAGCTGCTCGAAAGCGAGCCATGACGTTTTCCGGTCACAGGAGGGATACTCCTACTTCTTGACATGGCCCCCGGGCTTGCACCCATGGCCTCGGAGTCAGAAGAATCACTATACGGGCCCTTGGTTCCTCCACCTCCAAACATCGACCGCGATGTTCGCGAATAAGCGGGCGAGGAGCTTGGCATTTCGCGTAAGGCAGACATTCGTGTGACACGGCCTCCAGGGACCATGTTAATGTTGGTTGGGCTGTCAGTCTGTTGCATAGATGGAGAGCCACCTTTTCTTTGTGGGTTCGGTTGGTTGAGTGCGGCATCAGTCTGTGATTGTTTACGGCGACGGGTGCGGATGCAAAGTAAAGCTGCTAGGGCCGCCAAAATGGCAGCTGCGACAACAGAACCGATTACAATTCCAGCGATTGCACCTCCAGACAAGCCCTTGTTCGAGGTATCGGCATCAGCTGCCGCGGAAGTAGTCACAATTGGCTGGAGAGTGACAGTTGCGGCTGGGATCGAAACTCCATCGCAACGGGAGGTGGCATTGGCGCTTACACAGCATGTGTCGGTCGAATTGGGAGAGCTTGAAGCACAGTACGTGCAGAGACCGATCGTGTTGGACGAAAAACCGCAGTTCTTTGATTCGTTGTCGGATCCTTTGACACAACTACCGCTAAGGGAGTTGGATGGCGATGAGCAAACAGTGAAATCGGCGCGGATCTGTTTCATATAGTCTTCGTCGGTACCAGAGCAAAGATTGCTGTTGACCATGATTTCTTGTTCGCTTGTGGCCCAAAGTGCGCAGGACTCGGCACATAGCGGTTCGGATTCTGTGTCAGACAAGTCGCAGTCCGACTTGGAGCTCTGGATGAGGCTGCTGCAGATCACACTGGTGGTGTATTGGCTGTAGTAGTCGTTCATTGCGCTGTTGTTCAGGCCTTCGCAGCCCAATACTTCGGAAAAACTACGCGCCTTGGGTTAGCCACACGGTACCTTCACCTCAGTCGTTGCTAGCCACACTTACTGTGAAGTAACATAAGTTCCCTGAACGTAATCGCTCAGAGATTGATCGAAAGAAGTCAAATTAGAAACATTCTCTAGCCATGGGCTGTGGTTATTGAGTTAGCGCATCCGATTGAATCCCATCTCAGATCGAGAATTTGAACGGGTCGACTCACAAGTCCGCATGTTGGCTCGAATTGGTCGATACCGAAGCGCTTCTCCAGGCAGAACAGGCAGTCGACCCTGATAGAGAAAGACATGAGTTCGCCATGCCGGGTGAAGAAGACCCTCAATGGTCCACGCGCGAACCGAGGAATGTGGGCGTGTGGAATGTGTCAAGGTATGGTCGAGAGCCGGAGATTATACAAATCGCATGTCGAGGTTGAATTTTTCTCTGCTAAAATCTTGAGGGAAGAGGTCGACCACAGGCCACCGGAGAGTAGCGTCAAGCTCGAAAGGGAAAGGAAGGAAGAAAAAAAGGCGCGAAGAGAAGGGCAGGATAAACGAGTGACTTTCGGGTGGACAATGCCGTGGGACCCGCAGGAAGGAAAGATCGAGCACCCCCGGAGGCGCTCTCTCGATCAAATTGAATCGAAGTGGGAGAATTGGAGAGAATGGATGACCAATCGAGAGGAGAGACGAGGAGGAGAAAGGCCAAGTGCTAAAGGTGAAGAGTGAGGTGTGAGGTGTGTGACTTTGGGGTGGAGTCGGGGTGGGCTGGGGAGGACCCGATTTCCCAGGGGTGAGACGAACTTGACTGCGAACCACCCGTGCCTGAGAGAGAGGCTGGACCTAGAACCTGGAACTAGGCAGAGAACAGCTGTTTACAGTGTACGCAGAGTACCTCGTACTGTACACAAAAAGGGGCCGAGCCCAACGGTGTTTCTAAGCCGTGCCTGTCTAAGCCTGTTTGGTGAGTTGGCGTGTTTCATCCTCCACTCACCAGCTTGACCGAGGACCCATCGACGATCGCTATCACCCACCCGCGCCAATTTGGGATTTGATTTTGGATCTGTACAGTACAAGACGAAGAGGGCGGAGTACAGATTCCTCGGTAACCTCTACGCAGCCACCGGGAATCCGCTGCCTTGCATCCTGCACAAAATGATGTGAGCTATCCGCGAGGGGCGTTGCAGATGTCACCGAAACTGAGTCTGCACGGCTGATCCCGGCGCAGAATGGGAGTGACTCTGCAGAAAGAGAACTTGAAGTATTGGTATTGCCAATGGTTAGTGACAATATGTCTGCCATAAGATATATCCCTAGATATACATAGATATAGATGTAGTATGTAGATGTAGATGTAGATGTAGATGGAGTGTACCATGGTTACTGTTGATGCATCACATGATCAACGTCATCTGATCTGGAGCAGGCTGCCACTCAGCACCACGACAATTGCAATTGCCATCACCATCTCCATTTACTCCTCCAAGTTCATGTTCATCACTTTGTTCCTGGGAAAAAAGTGGTTCCTTGCGATACATACCAGCTCCCTCGTCCATTAAATTTCTTCTCGTTCTCAGACCTCGTCATTCACCCACACACTCGCTCTCCTGCAGGTGATAGAGCGCAATCTCACTTCCCCCTTCCGTCTGGCGCCATGTGTAGCTCCGATGTCTTCCTGGCCGTGTTGGCCATTCTCTTCCCACCTATTGCTGGTAAGCCCACCCCGATGATCGTGAGGGTCGACTACTAGTAGTTATCCCCTTACTATCTTCCGATAAATCCATATGACTATGGAAACGCTAACCCGTCTCGCGCCCCCCCCATCAGTCTGGATCAAGGCGGGGATCTGCACTGCCGACTCCATCATCAATATCGCCCTCTGTCTACTGGGCTACGTCCCGGGCCTTATACACGCCTGGTATATCATCCTCAAATACCCGGATCCCGACTATGACAACGTCGCCTATGAGCCCATCCCTGGTGGCTCCAGCCAGCGCCGTGACTTGGAAAATGGCCGCGTGACCTACTACTATGTTTCAAACCCGCCTCTCCAGCACCCCTCCCAGCAGCGAAGCTACGGCGCGACCCAGCAAGCTCCATCCAACTCGAATGCCGCGCCCAACCCCTCGGGCAACCAGCCATCTGGTAACAAGGCCCCCGATCACCCGCAAGAGGGTGCTGCGGGCAGCAGTGGACAAAATGCCCCGCCTACATACGCGGAAGCCGTGAAGGGCGACAACAAGATTCAGACCCAGGATTAAAGTACGAAGTGGAATGGCTGTTAAGCAGCTACCATGGTCTCAGTCTGAGTCTCATCTTCTTTCCAAGTGTACACCACTTGGGTTCATCGTAAGCGCACCAGGGCGGATCTTTTATGACTTTGACGAGAATATGTTTTTTGTAGTCTTTTTTTTCCCTATTCATCGCTGTCTTATCAATAAGCCGGTTCGCAGTCGGCTCCTTTTCCCATTTCCCATTCCACTCAATCTCGTTATTGTCTCTGGATCCAGTGGAGGTGGTTGTTGTATCACAGCGGTCGCTCGTTGGCTCCTCTCCGGGGCTGTATTATTTTTCATCGGTCAAGGTGGAACTTGTCGAAACAATGGATAATTAATCAATATATCCTGCTTCCATAAATCTTGGTGACATACGCTTGAAGAAAACTTGCAGAGTGCCCGCTATCCGTCAGGGTAGAGTTCACGCTGATAGAGCAAGCTGCCCGTAAGCTCGGGTCACTTCAAGTTGTAGTGCTCAAGAGCGTCAAGGTCATAGATTAAGTTCCTTGCGAGGTTGTCTGTCGTTGATACCTGGGTAGGTACTACTAGTAGTGAGGATGGTGGAGGTCTGGATAGCCCGTCTCCACCAGTCCGGGACTCGGATCTTGTTGGAAACGCCTGGTCGGTTAAAGCCTGTAGGCACACAGACTAGACCGCTGGAGCTATTGTGGTAGATTCTAGCGACATGCGAGTGGTTCCAAGCGAGGTCCAGCTCAACCTCCACCTGGACAGCCCTGGAGGGTTTGGAACTTGAAGTTAAGTTGACATTAACAGTGGGGATATATATACTAGTACTACTACTACTACCTACCACCGAGCATCGGGAGAAGTAGGGCAAGCACTGGCACACTACTAAGCAAATGCGACTGGCTAGGCTCTCGAATGTGAAAAAAGACAAAGAAATTAGTAATTATTTGGTCCATAAACACGGAGAATACCTAGTTAATATACTTCAATATGCATAGACCATATCTGTATTGATGTCGATAGGACATCTGATAAGCGGCCGACCCAACCCGCTCCGAGATGCCATTGGGATGTCCAGCTCCTCTTCCGCGGGACTTGAACTCCAACACTCCTCAACAACCCCTCCTGGCCCGAGGCCCCTCATATCGGCCATGCAGTCCATGCCATTATTACTTCGGCAATCCATCCGTTCAACTCTACAAGTCACACGCTCAACACCCAGACCATTGCACGCAATCTTCCGACCGACACCGCCGAGCTCTTTTCCCGCTGTCCCGACGCGGAACTTCTCAATCTGCCTCCAATGCCGGTTCCGCCGACAGTCGGGACTATACTCAGCATACGATGATAAAGGGAAGCCAATTAATGATGCGGAGAGACTGCACCAGGCTATAAAGGAGGCTTCCTCGGACGCGATTCCCATCCCGGAGACTGGGACCGTTGGCAAGGAACCTCCGCTGGATGCCTCCGCGGTAGAGGTCGATCGCGCCGCGGAGCAGGGGGCATCTCAGGAGGTTGAGAAGGAGTCAATTTATAGGACGGAGTCGGAGCAAGCAAACAGTCAGGAAACAGGTGCCGATGGTGTTCGGAGCGGCGGACTCCCGTCGTATTTGGAGAGTCGTCGGTCACAGATGTCGAAGCAATTCACGACTATGATGGATAATATCCAGTCCAATGTATTTGTGGCTGGACAGCGTCTAAACGACTTGACGGGCTACTCTGGGATCGAAGCTTTGAAGAACGAGATTCACAGCCAAGGTAAGAACCCATGCATATCTCCAAAACAGGTCGCGTATCTTGAATCTAGAGCTAACTTCTTCTTGTTCCACATAGAGGAACGACTCCGAGCCGCCAGATCAAACGTTCGAAAAGCCAAGGACGAATACTCAGCCGCTATCACCCGTCGCTCGACCTCCCAGCGTGAAGTCAATGAGCTCCTCCAGCGCAAACACGCTTGGTCTCCAACAGACCTGGAGCGATTCACCCTTCTCTACCGAAACGACCATACCAATGAGGTTGCTGAGGCGGAAACGCAAGAAGCCCTCTCCGCCGCCGAGCGCGAGGCCGAAGAGGCGGCCGCTTCATTGAGCAAGAGCATTCTATCCCGCTACCACGAGGAGCAGGTGTGGTCTGATAAGATCCGCCGCATGAGTACCTGGGGAACCTGGGGTCTTATGGGTGTCAACGTCCTGCTGTTCCTGATATTCCAGATTGCTGTGGAGCCATGGCGCCGGCGCCGACTGGTCAAGGGCTTCGAGGATAAGGTTGTTGAGGCTATTGAGAAGGAGAAGGCGTTGATTCGCACCGAGATTGCCGAAGGCACTACACCCGCCTTCGCTGCTTTGGCCTCGGCTACTCCCGAACAGGTTGATTCTGCGATCGAATCTTCTATCTCCACCCTTGAGACCTCTACTACCGAGGAGCCGGCGAAGCCAATAGTGGAGAGTAGTAACACAGCCGCACTCGTGTCTGAGACACCACCCACGGCTACTCCCGAGTCTCTTTACTCCCGTCTCTCTAATATCTCCTCCTCGCCTCTCTCCCTTGAATACTGGCAGACCGCTTTCAATGAACTCTTCAGCGAGCGCAGCGTCTCTACTTCACAACGTGATCTTACCGTCGCTTCTATTCAAAGTGCCGCAGCCGGTGCAGCCGTGATGGGCTTGGTGATTGCCTTGGTAAATCCCCGATAGAAGGCCCTTGGATCTGATTGTACATGGCGGACAGGAAAGGAAAGAGATCTTGTAGGATGTTGTTCATCTTAGATCTCACGCCTGACATCGAGGCTTTGCTACATATCCCCTGTGACTAATTGGTCAAAATACATGTACAGATGAAGAGATAGAATTATTTGGGTTATCAGAACCCCATGTACTGTTATCGAAAAAGAAATTCCCACCACCGAAGCCCTCGATATACTGGTAGCCACGATCCGTCTCATCCACTCTTACAGGGAACCTAGATATTAGCTAGCAAAGGCGAGAATGTGGATAACAAAAGAAATGTCATGACTAGGCAATACACTGGCAAATATAGAACACAAGGTATGTACTGTACTCAAGGAGACACCCAGTTAGGCGGAACAGCCGGAGTAGAGGGTTCTCCAGAAAAGAGACAATCCGTAGATCAATGGAGGCGAGGGCCGAGGACCAAGGACAACAGTGTAAAAGGTATGAAAGAGGCTCATTTTTTGTCCATAATTAAACACGGTCTCTTTAATCTTGACACGACACACACGGCCCGCTCTGTCTAAAACACAAGGGATAAAAGGAAAAGGAAAAGGAAAAGAGAATCACAAGCACATACACAAAGACACGATGAAATGTCTTTACCCAAGCAACCAAAACACTGGTCTAACTCTCAACAAGGGATCATTTTCCGACGCACAGAAGAAGTTCGGCTTTCCAGGCGTTTTGTTTATGATGAGGAATTGTTGTTCGGGCGATCCGTTTATCCGATGACGAGAGTGTCATCCTCGGGGAAGTTGTAAGCGGGAACCTCCAGGTTCAGAGGGGCAGGGCCCTTGCGAATACGACCGGAGATATCGTAGTGGGAGCCGTGGCAGGGGCAGAACCAGCCGCCAAAGTCACCGGCCTCACCGATGGGCACACAACCCAAGTGGGTGCAGACACCCAGCATGACCAGCCACTCGGGGCGCTGGGCGCGGTCCTCATCACGCTGAGGATCACGGAGACCCTCCCACTTGATCTCGCGGGCCTCGTCGATCTCACCCTGGGTACGGTGACGGATGAAAACGGGCTTACCACGCCACTTGATGATGACCTATTGATGGGTTTAGAGATTGGAGGGGAGAGGAGGCGAGAGGAGAAGAAGTCCCCGGAGTGTGGGGGAAGGGAGAAAACACATACGTTCTTGCCCTCGGGGATAGCACCGAGAGAGATCTCAACCTTGGCCTGGGCCAGGACGTCGGCGGAGGCGGACATGTTGACCAGGAAATCTGTAGGTGAAACACGCGGTCAGTCACGATGTCGCCCAAATCTCACCACCACGTGTGTATGATGCCCCGGATATCGTCACTCCCGATCAATTGCTTCCTTTATCTTCCTCCACAGTCGTTTATTGCATCCATCCATCTCATTTGCATCGGGAAAGTAAAAGGTAAAGAGGGAACGTACCCTGAACGGTGGCCTTGGCACCGACGGCGGTAGCCAGACCCATGGTGCCAGCCATGAAGTAGGAGAAGACCTGGTTGGAGCGGGGGCTGTTCTTGGACTGGTATTTGCTGAAGTTGGGGATCTTCAGAGTCGAGCCACGCTCGTTGGCGGTGGCGAAGGGGCTCTCGAAGGAGGACTTCGCATCGGCAACTCCCCTCCGCTGTTGGCAGGAGGTGACGGCGGCGCGGGAGGTGGGCAGCTGCTGGCGAGCGCAAGTGCGCAGCAGAGTGCTGGAAGCGGAGGAGAGCGACATGGTGAGTTGACCACGAAGGGTATGTCCGCAATTGGGGGAGTGAGTGGTTGCGAGTGGGTAGGGGGAGTAGGAGGTGGATGAAGTCGGAAGTGAAGTTGGAGCCAGAGCTTTCGCTAGCGATCGGAATCACGCGGCCTCTGATTGGCTGAGCGGGTCGCCGACACCTTGCCGAGTGTAAGTGCTACAGTTAGTACGCTGTCGAGTCCATATATGTACTGAAATTAGAGTAAATAATGCAATTTTAATTCTATTCTCCTACTCGGGGTATCATTGATCATTTAAACAGTGAAACACTTTCTTTTCCTGACCATTATTCCCGCTGGTATCTACAGTAGCCGCTCCCGAGACGTCCCGGCATATCAAAAAAACACCCAAAAACTGACCCCGAAATTCCAGATAACTCCAATGCAAAGCAGGTGAACGCAGCAAATCCTCTTGATGTATGCAAAGAACAATCACATTCCCTCCATTCGAGGCTCCCTCAATCCCTCATTTCAACATCCGGGTCCTGAGCGGTCGGCCCCGGGGCTTCGACTGTCCGGTCCGCAATCAACGCGCTCACAGGCACGACTGGCGTTCGCGGAACTGTCGGGGATGAGACCGTCGATTCATTCCCTTGGCATTGTTCTTCTCGGGAGTCGAGCCATTTGCCTTGGCTGGTGCCGCGCCAGTTCCATTCAGCGTGCGCTGGCCCTTCTCCATCTCGGTGGATTCCTTGGCCTTCTTCTCTTTGAATTGTTTGTAGGTCGTAGTCTTGGGAATAACATCGGAGAGGAACTCGAGGTTATCGGTATGGGAGACTGCGCTTGCTATATGAGATATTGATATTAGCTTGGCCCGTTTCAATGCGTCGCTGCGACGTCGCAAGTGATCACCAGACTACCCACCGAGGTCTTTGTATTGAACGGTCTTGCGCGGTTTCCGTTCGGACTTGACCACATTGTGGCCTTGCTCGGCGAGGTGTTTGATAAACATCTCCTATGGGTGGTGTCAGTGAACGTGTATGCAGATTGTATGTGTATGGCGGAGGAGGTAATCGGGGACGTACAGTAGCCATAGCAATGACGAAAGTCGCGTTACTGGAACATTGCACAATATCCTCGTCTAGCTGAATGATCTTCTTGATTCGGGAGACTAGACGATGGTTAGCCAAGTTCGTTCTTGTCCTTCAGACCTGTCATTTTTCCACAAACGTACTGGGCAGAGCACTCTGGCCGGTGATCTCCTCCGACTCGGCGGCATTCTTTGAAGACATGGCGGAATAATATGAAAGGAATCGGCAACCAGAGAGTCCAAAATGAACTATTGCACCAAGTAGCACAGAGAAGCACGAATCTTCGAGGGGTTATGGCGAAAGTACGCGAGGGTCGGAAATCCAAAGGTTAAAACGCGTGAAGTTGGCCCAGCGCGGTCCAAGTGCAAGTGCAAGTGCAAGTGCAGTGCAGGTGCAATCTTATCTCAGCAGCCTCCCCGTTATCGATTAACCACCTGGTTACCTCTGGACCTTCCATCGCATACATCCCAACTTCACTGTCGCTGTCGCTGACTCCCTTTCGACACTTTGCAGATCTCTTTTCATAACTGGCAAGAACTTTGGGAAATTGAACCGCCTCAATCCTCGGCGACAACCTTTGCGATTCTCCCCCATCGCGGCGGGAGAGCATCATCGACTACCAAGCCTTTTAAGCTCGATTATGCTCATATAACCGCCCCGCTTGATGTTATGACCTCGTTACGCCCCTCCTCGACCTCACTGCGGTCGCCTTCTATCTTGTCAGAGCGCCGCGACCTGCGCATACTATCCGGTCGATCGGTCTCCTCCCAGAGGTCCCCTATTCGTGAAACAGCTCCCGAGCCCCAACCCACCGCGACAGAGGAAATCAGTGAGATCAAGCGCTATGAGGATTTTACAACCATCGATTGGGTTCAAGATGCTGTCTATGAGCAGAATCATCGCCGAGCAAAGCGACGGAATGGTGGTGGCTTTTGGGACCAAGAAGGTATCTTTGGTTGGCGTCGCAAGGTGATCGAGTCCTACGATGCTGGCCAGGCTTGGCTCGTCGTGACCCTCGTGGGAATGGCGATTGGATTAAACTCGGCGCTATTGAATATTATAACCGAGTGGTTATCCGATATCAAATTGGGCCATTGCACGACCGCATTCTATCTCAATGAGCAGTTCTGCTGCTGGGGCGCTGAAGGAGGTACGTGACGTGGCAAGCTTCGAGATTCTTCTCACTGGGTCTACGTTTCTAACTCGGAACTTTCAAAGGTTGTCCTGAATGGAAGAACTGGACTGGTTTTTGGTTGATAAACTACATCATTTATTTCTTCTTTGCAGTAAGATTTTGGTCTGGGGGAAAACAGATGGGACGAGACGGTTTGGCTAAACTTATCTTCTAGGTATTACTTGCTTTCATCGCAGCAATTCTGGTCAAAACATTTGCTCCATATGCTGCTGGCTCTGGTATTTCAGAGATCAAATGCATTATTGCTGGCTTTGTCATGAAGGGTTTCCTTGGAGCCTGGACTCTCCTGATCAAGTCGATTGCTTTGCCACTAGCTATTGCATCTGGCCTTTCCGTCGGAAAGGAGGGACCTAGTGTTCATTTCGCTGTGTGTACGGGAAATGTCATCTCACGATGGTTTGGCAAATACAAGCAAAGTGCTTCAAAAACAAGAGAAATCTTGACCGCATCAGCTGCTGCAGGTGTGGCTGTCGCTTTCGGCAGTCCCATTGGTGGTGTGATCTTTTCACTTGAGGTATGTTTTGCAACGGTTCTACGTTTATGGCGACTGGAGCTAATAGTTTTGTAGGAAATGGCCAACTACTTCCCACTCAAGACTCTCTGGCGAAGCTATTTTTGTGCTTTGGTAGCGACGAGTGTTCTAGCGGTATGCTACCCCCCATATATTCTATAGACCATCACGACTGACTTCATCAGGGCTTGAATCCCTTTCGAACCGGACAGCTGGTCATGTTCCAGGTCGAGTATGATCGCACGTGGCACTTTTTCGAGTTGATCTTCTTCGTATTCCTAGGAGTATTCGGCGGTTTGTATGGCGCTCTTGTCATCAAATGGAATCTCCGGGTAGCAGCCTTCCGCAAAAAATACCTTGGAAAATACCCTATCTCAGAGTCCGTATTTCTCGCCGCGGTCACTGCAATCCTATGCTACCCCAACATCTTTCTCAAGATCAACATGACCGAAATGATGGAGATTCTTTTCCGCGAATGCAAGGCAGGACATGACTATCACGGACTTTGCGAGTAAGAGCACAACTAGTAGCTGCTGCATATGAAAAATGCGTACTAATTATTCCTTTAGGAAAGAGAATCGTCTGGTCATGGTCCTCTCCTTGGCTGTTGCTACTATTTTACGCACCGGTCTGGTCATCATCTCATATGGATGTAAGGTACCGGCAGGTATTTTCGTCCCATCAATGGCCATCGGTGCCTCCTTTGGTCGCATGGTGGGGATTATAGTGCAGGCACTATATGAACACTTCCCCGACTCCGCCTTCTTTGCATCATGCGAACCTGATGTCCCCTGTATTACGCCAGGAACATATGCTTTCCTGGGGGCAGCAGCGGCTCTCAGCGGCATCATGCATCTCACCATCTCAGTTACCGTCATCATGTTTGAACTCACAGGTGCCTTGACTTACATCTTGCCGACTATGGTATGTATTTAATCCATTCAGAGGAGGATTCATGCTGACAGTCCATTTTACACAGATCGTCGTGGGCGTAACCAAAGCCGTTGGCGACCGATTCGGAAACGGAGGTATCGCAGACCGAATGATCTGGTTTAACGGGTTCCCATTCCTGAGACAATAAGGAAGACCACGTCTTTAACGTTCCAGTCTCACACGCAATGACGACCGATCCACTCACACTCCCCGCATCTGATTTCCCCGTTCGTGAAGCAGAGCACCTCTTGAGCGACAACAAGTTCCAGGGATTGCCGATCGTGGAGGACCGCAGCAATAAAACGCTCGTCGGCTACATCGGACGCACGGAACTCCGCTACGCCATTGATCGCGCGCGTAGTGACGGTCTCCTCTCGCCTCGGGCGCGATGCGTCTTTACCAAAGAAGCTGCCGATGCATCAGTCGCACGGCGAGCTTCCGTCTCGGAGCGTTCCCAAGCTCTGGCGCCAGACACTTTTGATGCGATCCAAACGAGCGTGGGTGCTGGATTCGTCGACTTTTCCCGCTACGTCGACCACACTCCATTGAGCGTGCACCCACGTCTCCCCCTTGAGACTGTCATGGAGATCTTCAAGAAGATGGGCCCGCGGGTTATTCTTGTTGAACACCGTGGCCGTCTGACTGGCCTGGTCACAGTCAAGGATTGCCTGAAATACCAGTTCAAGGTCGAGGCCGAGGAGCATGCGCTTGCGGCAACCACAGCGTCGGAATTTTCTTCTGCACCGCTGGGAGGCCATTTAAGTACTCCTGCTTCGGAAACTTTGGAAGAGCGCGTCTGGCGGATCATCCAGAAAGCCATTGGATTTGTGTCTGGCTCATCGCGTGCTAGTCGTCCCGTACGGCTGGGTGAACGCGATCGCTCCGGACAACCGGAATCACCGGGGATTTTGGATGGGACGGAAGACGATGGTTTCGTTGAATTGGAGGAGAGAGAGGGACGGCCTGGTCGCCCTTAGGACTGTAACAATTATGTGGATATAGGCGGATAGAAGAGATGGATGCATTATATACAGCGTTGCTCGTGAAGTTCATTCCGATCATCTTGAACTTTCTAGAATTGGTGCCTTCGTTCCTTCAAGTTTCCATGTACTAATTAAAACAGTAAATAATATGAAACCTCATCCATGGATCCTACTAGGGATTTGGTTTCCCAGGGTGATCTATGGTGGGACAAGATACCTAGGTAGACTTCCAAGGTAGCACAAGCACGATGCTTAGCAGAGCCTCAAATTACGTAACTCCAAAGGCCGAATGCAATATATTCCAACAATATATGATATAAGATATAAGATATCCCTAAAATCAAACTACGCCCCCTCACGCATCCCAACCAAGATACACCCAGCACCCATCATCGCCGCACCCAGCCACCACAATCCACCCACCGCCTCTTGAAAAACAATCATACCCAAGAAAGCCGTCATCAAAAAGTTAGAGGCAGTGTTTGTGATGGAGACCTTTGTTGTCGATGGACCGGCTGTGAGGGCGCGGGTGAAGAGTGCCCACATGATAATGTTGCAGAGGACGTTGAGACCGAGACATGCCTGTTTGCGCCAATCGTGAGTATGTGAATCCTTGCCATTCTGGCCGCGTATAAAAGGTCCGGGACTTGAGAGAAGAAAGAAAGAATGTATCATGACGTACGCCGCGGACGAGGAGTTCTAGGAATGGGGAGGAGGCGAGGCCGAAGATATGGGCGAGGGATTGCGCGAAGGCTGTGGTGTGATTGTCCGTTGTACTGCGGTGGTCAATTGATTTGCTCGTGGATATAAGGGCTTCACTGGAGTTGTCTCTGCACTCCTGCTGGTAGACGTGCGCATCTTACAGTTTCGCAAAGAGTCCGTTCAACGCGGCGAAGGCGCCGCTGGCCAGGGCGAGGACGATCCAGGGGGAGGTCGAGGATTCTGGGGGCGCTGTGGAAAACATCTTGGCTGTTTATATACCCGAGCTGGACCGGCAGCTATGTTCAAGGGAATTAATCACGTATATAGCGAGGTTTGGGTAGAGATGGGGAAAGGAGGAGTTCGGGGAGGTTCGCGGCCGGGGTGATAAGATAATGACTGATCGGCATCCTATTGATTCAACTGGGGGATGGGAACTTGAAGTATACAATGTCGATAGCTCTTTATGAATAAAACTAGAAGCACACAGGCCAATGTCTAGCTATATAGCATTTCAATACATAAATTCTACGGCGACAATCTTTGCAGCCGCCACTGCGCATCATCACCCGAGCCATCAATGCGGATATATCGGAATCGATCATGAAGTCGACTCCGACGACCCTGCCAGAATTCCACAGACTCAGGAACCAGTCTCACACCACCCCAGAAAGGAGGCAGAGGAATCTGCTCCACGCCCTCAAACTTCTTCTCCATCTCATTAACCCATTGTTCAAGCAAAGCCCGCCCATCATCGATATCCGTCTGGTCGATATCGGCAGGGATATCGACGCCAGACGTAGATCCCTCAATAGGCTGAAGTTTCGCAACGCTCTTGCGACGCTGATGCTCGTCCATCTTCCCCGGCTCCGCAGACCAGAGAACACGACTCTGCCAGCTCGCCCAAGCTCCAATTTGACTGCCCCGCTCCCGAGTGCGCCAGTACAGCTCGCTCTCTTCACGACTAAGTGGCTCCAAGAGACCCTCCACCCGAACTTGACGCTCAACAGTAGACCAGCAGAATGTCAGGGCTCCCCACTTATTACCGGCCGTTTGTCCTTCGTCGCCGGGCTCAGGCATTGATCCAATCGCATTGGCACCGCTGACATCTTGCCCGAAGACCTGCGCACCTTTTCCTTCCCGACTGCCCCAATTGCTGTAGACGACCCATCCCCGCTCATCTAGTTCTTTCAGATATAACACACGCGAGCTGATACGGCCCAAGGGCAGGGATGCTGTCGCAAGGGTGCAGGTCTCGGGTGCCGAGCTAGCAGGCAAACGCGGATCACGGAACCAGGCATTGAATTGGCGGAGGGGGTTTGTGCCGTGGATCTGGGACACGGTTAAGGGTGGATTGGTCACGAACTGGTGTGCCCGGGCAGGGTGTGACAGGATCTGGGTCTCGGTCGTGGAGGTCGGCGTCGAGGTATCGGAGCGGAGGGCTTCGCCGGAGGCGAGGTGATATGGGAGGGCTGATGTGGGGTTCGCTGTGGTCTCTGATGCGTTTGGAGTTTCGGAATCAGGTGCAATATCTCCCGGGGCGACTGTAGTGTTGTTGGTTAGTTTTGAAGCTCCGATGACGAGTCATACGTTCCCCGCGGGGCATGTCACGATGTGATTTGCGCATGGTGCGAGGGCTGGGGCGGGGGTTATTTGCGTACAGATTAGCTTCTTTGGACGCCGTGACTGGGCTTCCAGCTCTGTGTCGTTATGCGACATGTTGGATTTGTGGTTGGTGGTGAGTCGAGCAGTGGAAGAATGCTGGGCTTGAAGGTGGAGGTGGGGTTTAAGTTGGCGGGCAGTGCGGGTGTCGATGCGGAGAAACGAGTGGAGGCTGCGAGTAGCAAGGAAACAGAGCCGATGAACCATTTAATTTGTCCAGATTCAATGGCGAGTGTGTAATGGATCTATCTCGAGTAGTAATGGTAATGAAGTGAGGTGGGGAGTGGAGAGGCAAAATTAGTATGGTATGGGTTGATGTCGATTTGGCTGCGGAATTCCCCAATGCATCAGATCGATCGATCGAATATTGGGTTACTTGAGTTACTCCATCTACCATGGTACTTGTACTGGGATTTGGACCCTTAATCACGATAAAGTTCAATTTCCCATTCATTTGAACTACTTAGATTGACTGTCCCATGACTTCCATCTGTGCTTGATGCTGCACGAAGTCCACCATTTCCCATACCAAATAACCCGGGCATTCAAGCCGTATTCAAGCCCCTCGTTCGACCTTGAATTTGGTATAATCAATCTGGCTGTGCCCGATTGACTTTCCATCGCAGATTCCTTGGAACTTCAAGATACCCTCCTGTGCTCCGAACGTGATCTCAAGACTGTATCCGCTGCTGAGGTAGTGTCGGCTGCCATTTTGGACGTTAGATCTAAACTTCGAGAGATCTGCGTCCTCAAAGTCGCTGGTAATGAGCCCGACTTCGTAGATATCATCTGAATCGAGGTTAGCTATGTTGGAGAATCCTGGACTGTCAAATACTCAACCCGAATCGGCTCTTTCCGGTGGATTCTTGAGATCGCAGGCGAGAAGTGGATCGGTCCTTTCCATTGCACCCTCCTGCAGGTCAACATCCACTGCTATAGAGCGAGCCTCATTCTCATGGTACTTTTCGCCCTGTGAACGAAGAGATCGATTCTGTTAGACTCCTTCTATGCCCGGGGTTGTCCTGATAGAGCTCACCTTCTTGATGAACCATTCCACATAACCATAAGCGATCTTTTCGCTTGTCACTGGGTGAATAAAAGAATTGGACTCACTGTCGACGCCCTCGCGGAATGGTCGCCAGCATTCGTATCCGTAATTTCGCCGACACCGTCTGGTGGTAGAACGAAGACTTTGAATGCCGCGGAGGGCAGCACCTTGAACAATGGCCGCTTGCCTATGAAAGAATAGTTCCTCCATGATTAGCCAATGCCACACTATGGCTCTCACACAGCTGGCAAGAAGGCACTCACGGGTTGTCAGGAACAGTGATTTTAATCTTCTTGGAACCGAACTCCTTCTCGAAGGCATCGAAAAGATGCTCGGAGTCACCGAAACCACCGACAAGAATGATTTGCTAATAAATTATTAGACAAGAGATCTTCCAATGATGGCAGATTATACAGGAATAATGAGCCCATGACGAATGCTCGAATGGCTTACCTTGATGATGTCCTTCCCCTCCTCTTTGCGAGCATCTTTGATTTGTTGGCGAACCAGACCGAGGATATTCTTCACGACTGGGTCAAAGAGAGAGATAAGGGTCTCCCTTGGCGCAAGTCAACAACAATTCCACCAATAGCAGAATGTGTAATTACAGGGTGCCTTACTTTGAGATAAAAACCAAACGCTCATCTTCGTCAAAGTATCGCGGATTGGCCTTGTGGATTTTCATATTCAGTGGAAGCTGGTAGGAAGTCTTGTTGTCGGACGGCCCGAAGTTTCTCTTGATCGTCTCGAATGCGCTCATGAAGTCACTGCCAGGGCCCTTAAGCTTCATAGGAAGCTTGTCAAATGCACTGCCGAACCGTGTGGACATTAGCTGGTAAAATTTGCGATCTATGGCAGTTGATCCACATTTGGCGCCTTGTCAAAGTTCCAAAGTTAGCGATAGATATCATGTCATGGTAAGTCGCTGAAATGACCTACCAGTCCCAACGCAGAGCTCTTCAAAGGCCAGATTGGGCTGTTTCTGGGTGACTAGGTATGTTGTGATGTCCTGGGCAATCAGTGTCTCACCATTCATTGACGGATCGGCCTGTAAACTCACCACTGTTCCACCCCCACAATCACAGATCAGAACACCTTCTCCAGGCTGGCAGAGAATCAGTCAGTATATATATTTTCTAATGTCCTTTTTGTAGGCAGAGGAGAAGCTCACCTTGATATTCGCTCCCAGTCCAGTACCGGAGCTCTTCATCAAAGCCGTGATGGCAGCAGCCTCGGGTTCAAGAATCAAATTGATGGTGTCATAGGGTCGCAAATTGTCCTTTGCGAACCCTGCACGACGAGCAGCTTCGAGGGTTAAGTTTCGCCCACTATCAGACCAGATAGCCGGAACTGTGAACCAGAATTCCAACGGCGTCATGTGGAGAGCTTCAGGCGTAATTTGTTTGCCGATCACATTGAGGACGCATTGGTAGACTCCAGACAGGTAGTCAGCGGTAACATCGACGCCAGTCTTGCCATAGGGTATCTGCATGATGCCAGTTTGGCTGGCATGTTCCAGTGTAGAGTCTTCGTATTCGGGCGAGGAGGTGCTTTCATCGAGTTGGAGTTTGAACCAGGAAGATGCCTTCATCCCAGGCTCAACCTGGAAGCCCCATAGATCTTTCTGAATCTGGGGATTCTTTTCGGCGTATGCAATCCGAGTGGGGGTCTTGAGGACATAGTCCGTGTCCCGTGTTGGACCGGGCCATCTGCCGATGACAATGATATCGCTGATTTCAGAGCTCTGGGAGCTCACATAGCTCGCACCTTTTTCGATACTTGATCAGCGGGTGTTAAGAGACAAGCTATTTCCGGATATCTTACCAGTAAATGTGGTACCAAAGTCAATACCGACGATGATCTTGTGGGTCGATGGGAACGCTGGAGACCGGGCCGGGTTGGAGAGGGCAGATCGACGAGTAGATCGACGTCCTGGAGTCTTGACAGGACCCGGAGATTCACCAGGGGATTGACTAGCCTTGCTGGCCTTGGGAGTCTTAGAAGGCATTTTGGTTCACTTGTGATGAATGGAGAGTGGATTGATATCAAAGATGTTGGTTGAAGAGTGTTGAAGTCAAGAGGAGGAGAGGAGGAGAAAGTCAAGTGTCAGATGGAAGTCTGGGATAATAGAGAGCCAACTTCCTTTCACTTCACTTCATGCCAAACGAGGTAAAAGAAACCTCGTCTCTACCCTTTGGGGGGTCACATGCTGGTCGACCTTCATACTGCCTGGACAACCTCATCCCACCCGCCCACCTTCCTTCTTCCTTCTCACCTCACCTCGCTCTTACCCCCTTTGATTGCCACAGCATTTTGAGTCTTCATATTTCCTCTGTCCTGATCTTGCCGTGAGCAGTGGGAAATCACTTCACTTCTCCGCCCTCCTGCACCAGACATCGCCATCCCCATGAGAGACGAGGCGGTTCAAGTGAGCCCTCCATCGCGGAAGGTACGTAGCCCAATGCTTCATTGCTTTCCTTTTTCCGCCTTCTACCTTTTCACAGGCTAATGAAAATCAGCGAAAATACTCTGATTGTTTCTGGAACGCTATTTCTGGAATCCCTCCAGGTCGTGCGGAGGATGTGACAATGGCGCCGAAAAGGGCCAAGCTGACTGGTGATCGACCCCATACTCGGAGCCAGCCATCCCAGTCCCTCATCGTTACGGTAGGCAGGCCAGACTCATTCAATCCATTTAATCCAATAATTCATGGGAATTGAAACTAATTATATCTAGCTGAAGGTACCTGGAATGATCACCAACGTCAGAAACTCCAGAAATTCACAGTCATCTCGAAAAGTCGAACAGCTAGCAAGCGAGGGACCTTCACCGGACCAACCAGAACCAAAGAACCGTTCACTACCAGACCTGGAAGATATCTCCGTGATACAAAGCCTACTCAAAGACAACGTGGACTGCATGAATCGGGCTTTCTGCCAGAGTGAATCGCTCAGGCGTGATATCCAATCCCTGAAGGAACCATGCACCACGTCCGATTCGAATGAGTCTTCACTGCAGCAACGCATCAAGGCACTGGAGAATGAAAATGAGGACTTGAAGACAAACTTGATTTTGATGCAGAATCGCTGTCTCAAGGACATGCAAAATGGAGGCTGGGCGCCCAAGGAAGACCGATTGATTCGCCAAGAATTTGCGATGCTCCAGGAAGATATCAGCATCTGGTCGAAAAGTCATGGTATCATGTCACTTTCGGAGCTGAAAAAATCATCGAAGGCAGCCAAAACTCGCTTCATTCATGATCTGCACGCGGCAGGATGTTGCTCCGAAGAAAAGTGGGATTTCTTGATCGAAAAATCGGCGGCCTTAAAAGACAAGATTCCGATCCTTGTTCTTCAGGCATTTGTGGCCAATGATATATTCAAAAAGATCTTCAATCCTTTCTTTCCATTTCTTTTCTCGTCGGAGGGAATACTCAATGGTGATGCTGCAACACATCTTGATCGTATCTATAAGGAAATGATGGCTGGTGAGACTGAACACTGACTACAATTTATAAGATATGAACTGACTCGATACTCAATACAGTAAATAGCCCCGAAGCCCATATCTGGCGCTCCCAAGTGTTGCGAGTCCTATCTGCTTCATTAAAGAAGAGCATGGATATATCATTTACCAAACCTTCAATCGCGGGTTTGAAGAACGCCCCTTCGTTTCTTTTTCCAAGTACTAGTGATGTCAAAACACGCACAGCAGAGTTACACAAAATTTACATCAAAGCCGCAAAGTTAGCCCAATCCCTATGGACCCAGAGGGAATATCAAATGATGCTGACTTTGAAAGACCGACCGGTGTTTCAAAGCTCAAAGACAGCTATGGTTGCACACCGATTGCATCACCTTGATGATGGTGATCAAAGGCTTGATGGAAGGCAAGTGTTGCTATGTATCCAACCAGGCATCCTTGGCATTGGCAACTCGAATGCCGAGGACTATAACAAGGCGAAGGTATGGGCCAAGGCGATTATGTTGGTTGACGAGACGGAGGAGGAGACAGAGGTCGACGAGATAGACGACCAAGCGTGATTCCAAACCAAGCGATCCTACTTAGTTCATGAGCATCGTTTTCCATTCAAATTTCTCCATTTAGATACCCCCATTCTGATTTCTGATTCCCCTTGTCTGTTTCTGATCTCCTTCGACTTCTGATTTATTCTCGAGTTTTAGTTTTTTATTTCGCGATTCTCAATGCAATTTAGTTTAGTGTTTCATGAATCTAAAAGAAAGTAATGGACAGGTAGAGGATCTACTCCAAACTAGACAAGAGAAATTTGAAGGTAATTTTCCCTCTGGCCACTTCTGCCACTTCTGCCTGAAGCAAACGCATAGCACGTCTTTGTCCTCACAACCACCTCACCTCGATTGTGTCCATCGTCACAACTTCCAAGCTTGTCTTATCTTTTTAAATTCTCATCCTCCAGCTCGCCGAGAGAGCCCAGGTAGAGCGCTCAGATGCCCAGGCTCCAATCGTGACTGGCCCAATACCCAAGGTCTGTGCAGAGACATTATATCGGTGACCTAGTCACAATTGCTTCCCAGAATTCCCACTGAAATTATCAATAACCATTTCTCTAGCTCGAGATGCCAGAATCAAGCCAATTCTCCAGCGACCCACGGCCCCAAGAAGCCGAACAGCCACCAAGCGAGGCGCCTTCGTCGGGGCAGTCAAATTCCCTCAAGCGCCCGCTACCGGACGAAGAATATTTTCCTAACTTCCGAAATCTCATTGCTGAACTAGAATCCAGCTATAACCAACATAGTCACGAGCGAGAATTGCTGAAGGACCGAATTCAAGTCATGGAGGAAGAACGGGCCAAGCTCATCTCAGTCTCAGAGGAACGGGACAGGCTCAATTCGAGGGTCCTTTCCTTGCAGCAACGTGTCAAGGCCTTGGAAGACGAAAATAAAGAGGTTTGTTTAATGGCATCTCCGATGCATAAACACGCCCCGAGCAATTCGAAGAAGGGCGTATGGGCGCCGAAGGACGACGAATGGATTCGACATAAATTCAGCAAACTCGCATACCGGATCTACAAATTCTCGAGAAAGCATGGCCTCCAATCGCTCTCGGAATGCACAATAAGTAAAAGGGACAAGGATGGGATGATTAAGGATCTACAAAATAATGGATACTGCTCTGAGGATACCTGGGATTCCTTGATGAAGAAATCGACAAATTTCGCTCATAGAATCCCAAGGCTTGTGCTCCAAGCAAGAATTGCCAAAGAGATCTTTACGAATATCTCCCGTCCTTTCTTTCCTTTCGCGCGAGAATTCAGCAGTTCAAACCCATTTCCCCAGCCTAGCCCAAGGGAGCTTGATTTTATTCACCAGGAGATGATGGCTGGTAAGACCAACTGCTTTTCAATTTTGATTCCTGCGATGTGTTGGAACTAACCTGACAGTATAGTGAATCCTGTCGAAGCTCATATATGGCGCTTTGACACACTCCGAAAATTATTCCTGCAATCACGAAGAACGCGAATCATTTCGCTGTCCGTAAATTTTCGGATTGCTATCCTATTGGTCTTTTCAATTCTAACAGTTGGGGTGTTCTCGAGCATGACGAGCTAATAGCAGATATGAAAGCCATTCAGACCAAAGCCGTTCACCTGGCCCTGTCCCTTTGGACTCAGCGGGAATACTTCAAGCCATTCTCCCAGAAGGAACTGCCGGTCTTCGAATCATCGAATGATTCCATGACTACATACGGAGTCCCGAATACGCTAGCTAATTCCCTCAACGGGTCACAAGTGCTGCTTTGCCTCCAGCCCGCCATCATCGCTTATGGGGATGAAAACGCAGAGAACTATGATGTATCGAAAGTGTGGGCCGAGGCAGTTATGCTTGTTGACGAGACAGGAGTTAATGAGCTGGAGGACGCTAACAAGAACAGATCTGGTGAGATAATGGCTGAGACAGACGACTGAGCGTACCCCGGTCTGAAATTGAGCGCACCTGTTCAGCGCATGAGCATCTTTCTGTATTCTAATCACCCTCGATGTCTGAATTATTCTCATGTATTAGTTTCCAATCCAACTCAATTCAAAAACTATTCCACGAACAGGCTCCGGAGCACTCACTTTCTCCAGTAACTACTAGTAAAAAGCCATTGCTGCGCACCTTGTCAACCCCTGGTATCATCAGAAGAGTAGGAAGCACACCACTCCAAAACTCGCTACAATTCCAACTATTCTACAAAGGAAACCAGGTACTCATTCACTTTTTTTGTATTTCTCTTGGGCGTCTAGTAGCGCCATGCAGAGTAGAGATGGGTCTATGAACATCAAACATGATCAAATATGGTATACACGTTGCAACAAAGGAAAGAAACCACACACAACCACCATTTTAAAACGCCAGAACCATCGCTGAATGCCAGAAAACAAAATAAGGATATCTCTTTCCCAAAAACAGGTAGAAACCAAAACCAAGAAAAGACAAAACAAAACAAAACCAGGTATTTAGAACCAACCAAACCCAGCCCACTGTGTCGGCCCTGCCTGCGCCGAACCCGGGAATAAATATAGGAAGCCCACAACATCAAGAGAGATAAAGAGGCCGAGGGATCCAGCCCTAGCAAGACAAGAAACAAAGTTTGATGTAGGTGAGGGATTCACAAACAATTAAATCGGTATCAGACCTGGTCTTCTTTTGTTCAAACAGATCACAGAAAACAAAATGAGGATAGATGGGAAAGAAATTTTGGGGGGTATTCAAGTCGGGTCGAGTAGGTATTTCGGAGGATGGGTTTAGGCGGAGGGAGAAGAAGAAGAACCACCGACAAGGTCGATGATTTTGCTAGCCACAGCGGAAGGGTATCCACGAGACATCATCTCCTGGACGATGCCAGCGGCAGCGGTGCGGTCGTCAGCAGTGAGGAAAGCACGGGTCATGGCTTCGTAGGTGCTGGGCTCGCGCTTCTCCAGACCAATGCTGTCATAGATAGCCTTGGCCTTGGAGACTCGTCCTTCAATGGCCCATCCGTGGATGAGGGTGTTGGCAATGTAGGCGGTCATCTCGACGTTACGCTGAAGCATGTTCTTGACGACGTCCTCGGTGTCGGAAACGCGGCTGTTGGCGACCATGGCCTCGAAGAGAGCCTGGTACAGGCAGGGTTGCGGGCGCACGCGACGGTCCGAAACGACGGCGTCGAACACTTTGCGGGCGGCGGGCAGATTGTGCTGATCACAGCCCTTGGCGTGGACGAGAGAAGCGTAGTGGACGGCGTCGGGTTGTTGACCGGCGGCCTTCATAGATTCCAGGACCTTCTCGGCGGCATCCATGTCGATTGGCTCGAGGGAGGCGTGGGCGTCGATGAGAAGCTTGTATGTGTGCATGGTTGGCTTGATGTTTCGCGCCTGCATGCGCTCATAGTATGACAGGACCTTGCTGCGATCGCGTTTGGTGTTGAGGAAGTACTGGATCATGGAGTTGTACGGAGCCGGGCGGGGCTTGTAGTTGGGCATAGACTCCATCTCCTCGAACATCTCTTCGGCAAATCGCTCGTCGCTAACACGGCAGAGGGCATTGACGATAGTACCGTAGGTGACACTGGTAGGACGGACGTTGGTGGCACGCATCTCGGCGAAGTAGGCGAGGCAATCATCGATGCGACGAGCCTTGCCGAGCTTTCCAATGAGGGCGTTGTACAAGAAAGAGGTAGGCTCAATTCCTTCGGCGATGGCACGGTGGAAGATCTTCAGAGCCTCGGTGGCTTCGTCAAAGGTCTTGGTGGACTCCTTCAGGGTGGTGATGTACAGACCAAAAGTGTTGGCAGAGGGAGCAGAGCCCAGACCAAGCAGCTCCTGGTGGAATTGACCAGCGAGGTGACGATCTCCAATAGTGAGGCAAGCAGCAACCATGGCATCCAGAATAGAAACCCAACCATACTTGACGGCGTTGTGAGCGGGGGTCAGAGGAACATCAGCACATGCCATGGCGTGGATGTCATGAACCAAGTCCATCCGGCCAACCTTGGCAGCAGCAGTGATCAACTTCGCATATGTGATGTAGCGAGGGTGACGACCAATGCGACGCATGTTCTTCAGACGAATCAGTGCCTCATTGAGGTGAGTATCAGCTCGGCCAGTGGTCTTCTCAAGCTCCTCCGCGATGATGGCAGACCCTCGGAAGTCGGTGGCATGGGCATACGGATCGAAGGAGTCGGGGCTGGATGAAGGAGTCGTGATCGAAGTTTCAGCCATCGAGACAGGGCTACGGCGGTCAGAAACCATGGAGCCCTGAGAGGAGGCTTCGAGGTGGTCCTGCCATTTCTTGACGATGTCGGGGCGGCTAGTGAATAGCTTGGCGACAGCTTGGTCCACCAGGCTAGAGGTATAGGAATCAAGCGGGAGCGAGGCCGCCAGAGCGACGTCGAGCATGTGAGCGAAGCGGACAGGGTGAGCGACGTCAAACAGCATAGCGCTATTGTTAGCCAGCATACCGGCCTGGACCTGAAGGGCCAAGGTGAGGTCAGCAGGGCTCATATTCGAGATGCCCTGAGGACCCAGGTTGGCAACGGCATGTTCGGCCAGAGGGAAAACAAGACCGCCGTTCTCAACCATGGACCACAGGAGGGTCATGCAAGATTGGGGCGAGAGAACAGCGGCCGTCTGCATCAGGACACGACCGAAGAGGTGAAGCGATTCGGTGATCTGCTCCTGGGTAGAAGCACTGACGGTGGATTGTTTGGCAGAAGCGTTGCGAATACGGGTGAACATGTTACGAGCCTCGTGGAGACCCTCGTCAACATGACCAGACTTCAGTTGGGCAACCGCGTACATGGCGGTCGGCTGAACCATATCCGGGGTTGCCTGACCCACCGTGTTCAACATAATCCACAAGGAACGGGCCGCCGAAACATTACCCTGGCGAATGTTGAGGGCAAGAAGTGAGATGGCGGGTGTTTGGCGAATGGCAGGCGCTGTCGAAAGACGATCGTAAGCCTCGGAGGCGGTGGTGAGATCGCCAGCATCGGCCGCGGCAATGCAAATTTGAGAAATGGCCTGATCGCGGGCCTCATCATGCAACTGCGTCTTGGCCTGCTCCAAGGCGGTGCTGTAGTCACCAGCCTTCAGTGAGTGTTTTACCAGACCGTCCTGAATGATAACTTCTTCGACGGCCGCCCATCGACCCTCGCGGTTCTCCGTCACCTCGTTGAACGAGGAGCGAATTCGGTCCAGGAAGTTCAGGGCACCTTCTTCCTTACCGCAAGTCAAATAAGCACGGATGAGAGCAGCATAAACCTCTCCATCAAGGCGCTTGACGATGCTGAAAATACCGCTGTCATCGGAGACGGCCAGAGATCGGTATTCGTTGTAGCATTCGACCGCGCTCTTGAGATCACCGACGCCGGCGAAAGCATCGATCATGTACGGGAAGATGGTTGCGTGCGGTGTGACGTCCTGCTTTTCCATGTGAGAGTAGATGCGAATCATGTCCTCGACCTTGCCCTCACGAGCAGAAGCGATGATGAGCTGGCGGTAAAGGTTGACGGGCAAGGCCAGTCGTGAGTGACGAGCAATAGCAGTGTTGAAGAGTTTCACAGCGATGGCCAGTGAATGGTCCTCGGCAAGGATTTCGCGTTCCAGTTCGCTAGACTGAAGCATGAATTTACCTTGCTCTTCCATACCGCCATAACGAGCCCGTTCCTGTTCCAAAACCTCCTTGGCATCGATGGTCTCATGCGCCTGGGCGATGAGCAGCTCAACGAGGGTTTGATAGGTATCTTCATCGGGAATTACCCTGCGACGCAGCATATCAGAGTAGACGTCCAGCGCCTTGGGGATTGCTTGGGCAGCTTCGGGGTGAAGACGGATGGCAGCGACCAGAAGAGCATTGTATGCCTCCACAGTTGGGGTGAGGCCATCACGGAGGAGGGACTCGAATGCAACGGGGATTTCAGCATACTTCTTCTCCAGAGACAACAGTACAATGTGATCCGATGCGATCTGGGCCTCCGAGGCGGCTTCCGACGACAGAACGGCTTCCTGGACGGCGGACTCGGTGACGGGTTCGGTTGCTTCTAATGTCTCCTCGGCTTGGGCTTGTTCCTCCTGGATTTGAATCTCGCGGGCGACGGCCTCCTCGACTTGAGCGCTTACGTTCTCGTTGACGGCGGCCTTGGTGGGATGAGGCAGATCGGGCGAAACACTGCGCTCCTCCTTGACATCCTCGAGATCCTCGGAAGGTTTCCAACCAATGCGGCGCTTGAACTGGAATTGCTTCCAGTCGCTATCGTCGCCAGTGGCCTGGGCATGCTGCCAGGCGGCATAGTATGCGGCTGAGACCAAAGTCCCCTGATCCGGAGCCACCCTGGCTGGCCTTTGCGCCCGCGCCGGACGAACTGGAGGCGTTGGACCAGGCATTCTGAAGCTGTGTGCGGGAGAACTTGGCGGCGGGTTGGGCAGCGAGGGAGTTAAAGGTGGTGGTTGAGGCGTAGGTGGATTGCGACGCCGCGACTACCGACTGAACGGAGCCATGGGAGAAGGCTTTGGAAAGACTTTGGCGCGCGAGGTGGGTAAACGGTTTAAAAACCATTTATCTTGCGGGAGACCTCTTCAGAATGAAGAGGCAATGCTAGAAGCGCGTCCAGTTAGTGTGGTGTTCCGCGTCGCGCGCCGGGGTGGTCGTGTGATGCATACCTTGCACTCCGGGTAATAATTTGAGTGCAGGTTCATTGAACGACTCCGAGCCGTCAATGAACGCGCTAATGCGAATGAGGGGGGAATGGATATTAAAGTTGGAGAGTATGGAGTGAAGAGAGAAAAGAAGGACCAGTATGGGAACCGGTCACCCAAAAAATTGTTGATAATAAAATTGAATGGATGGAAAGGAGAGAAGGGGAGGAGGCAGCCTAAAAAAAAAAATAGTAGGAGTAAAGGGAGTGACACACTCTGGAGAGAGACCAGTCAGAACGGGGCGGATTCTGGAAGGAGATGGAGTCGCACGGAGTATTGGCAGAGTATTGGCAGAGTATTGGTCGAGTGGGTTTCTTAGGGCCGATCTTCTCCGGAGAATCTGAGCTGCCTTAGTATACTTTACAGTATACTTCTAGATCAACATTCCTGTACAGCCACACTACTGCTGCAAAGACACGTCAACCGAGGTCTAGTATACGAGAGGTAGAGTACATGTGAGTACATAGTAAATAGTACAATAGTATAGACAACAGAGTATCTAGACAACAGAGTACATGAAGTGCACGTATACCGCGTACACTCGTGTATACTTCGTAACTTTGCAGCGGAAGTCCTTCCGGTCGCCGGTTCCTGCCAGTTGGTCAGCTGCTCACCATTGACCAGCCAATCACAAGCCACCAAATGGTCGGGAACCCCTGAGTGAGTCACCTTTCTTCCGGTTCGTTTTCTTCAATTCTTCATATTTTCCTGTCTTTCTCCTGCCTTTCCTCGGACTTGACCCCCCTTTCCCCCGACTCGGCCTCCCGGTTTGTCCGCCCGGTCTTAACGGTCTTTGTATCCGAATACTCCATCCGTCTATCCTAGGGTAACCGTTGGTGAGATTTGAGGCATTTATCTTCTAAAGGCTAGTCTCTCGTCATCATGATTAATTTACCTTTGTGCTAGTTATTATCATTGTGGTCAAAGAGTCATCGAGACCAACTCTTGTCTCCTTACAGAGTATACAGAGTACTTGTATACGGACTCACAGAGTACGAGTACTCCTCCGTCTGAAAAGGTGAAACTGGGCTGAGACGGTGCCAAGACTGCCCGAACTCCGCCCTCCGCTTAACAATCGACGTCACATGACTATATACTGTAGAAGGTCACGTGGCGTATCTTGGCACATCGAGATCCACGTCCGTCACAGGCGAGCCGAACCCCTACACACATCGCGTACTATTCGTAGTATATACAACCCATCATTTCCAAACACCCACCATGCCACCAATTCGCAATACAAACCATCAAAAGCTACTCGCGCAAGAGGACCGAATGCAATTGGCTATACAAGCCTTAGAAAAAAGGAAATCACGTCTCTTAGTGAGGCATCGCGACGTTTTGATGTGCCGCGCTCAACTTTATCAGGTCGCACCAAGGGTGCCATTCACCGCCCATCTGCGCGTGCAAATAGCCGGAAATTGACTGCAACGGAGGAGGAATCGCTGTTACAATGGATAATCTCCGAGGAGAATCGTGGCCTGGTCCCCTTGCAATCAAGGGTCCGAGAAATGGCCAATTGTTTGCTGGCAAGCCGTTTCTTTGATGACGATAGCGTTACCGTCGGCATCAACTGGGCACATAACTTCATCAAGCGTACAAAAGTACTCCGCCAACAAAGGGCAGATGACCCCCTACCCGATCCTGGCCAGCGACTTAAACAGCTTGAGAAAGATATGCCTCAGCTTCTTAAAATTCTCGAACAAGTGGACAAAAGGTCCAACAAAATCTTCTCCGACTTAATCCTCTCAGAAGCCGAAGTTCAGTCCCGACTCAAATCGATCAGGCGTAAACGCCAATGCCCATCAAGTTCCCCAGTCGACCTTATGCAGCAAAATCAACAGCTTGCTAAAACCGTCGAGTTGGCAAAGTGTTCCCTTGCCGAAGACCAGACCCTCAGCAAGTCGGCCAGAAATAAACAACAACGCTCATATGACCGCGCAGACGACTTTATCCAGCATACACAACAGTTTGCTGAAGGTTTCCAACGAGTCCTGTCCCAATTACAGTTTATTGTCGCCGAAAACCAACTTCGAGATGCTGAGAACGCGCGATCCGTGCTCGAAGAGCAAGAGCAAGTAGCACCGGATAGTCAATCGCCCGACGAGGATGAATTAACCGTCGAGGATATGCTGGCCCGGCGACAACTTGAGGGGGAAATTAATATGGCTACGCCTGCGACAGCTTCGCCAACAATTCGCGGGCCAGGACAACGGCAATCTTGTGGCAAGTGCCGCAAACCAGGGCATAAACGTAATAGATGCCCGCTTAATCGTGACGATAGTAGTAACTAAGGCAACTGACCACGGGTGGAGGTGGAATTATTTGCATAAATGCAATGAGCAGTGGTGGTGGTCATTTGGTTGGCTTGTCTGTTCGGCTCACTTGTGTTTGGGTCGCCTTTGACCTTATACACCGGGTATGCTATGGTTCTGGGTCACTAAGTGACACACTTCAACTATCAAGTAGCTGGGTAAATTCTCATTTCCGCTGTATACTGACAATCAATCGATTAAGCCACAGTAATGTGCGATGATCTATCCCCAGCCATATGCTTCGAATGCCGAATCATTCAAAGTAGCGAGAAGGGTCGTCTCAAAGAACAAGGCTGTGTTCTACCTCCCTTCCCTCTCTATTTTTAGAGATACCAACGCCCGGAATTTCTTCAAGAACTTCTTCAAGGATATGATGAATCATGATATCCGATAGTATCAAGGTTATCTTGGCTCATAGTTACTGGAGTTAAACTTACCCTCCACGTAATCCATGGCGCCCCACCCGTTCTGATGTCAGGACGATCCAAAACGGACAACTCATCACAAATGGGAAAGCCGGTTTTTTGGTTTTTCCAGACAATGTCAATCTGGGCCTTGAGCTTAAGATTGGCTAGACCGGCTTAATAATAGGACAGCACACCATACGAACATGAGTACTCCGTACCCCGTAAATCAACCCCATTTAAGTATCCCGAGCACCGTGACTCAGTGAGCAGCCACCGGAACCAAAGTACCAGAGCTAATGTATCCCTACACTTTCCCCCCTCACGCTACGCCGATGCATTCACCCAATCTGGGAGATGATCAATCTGACGTCAGGCGGTCCCTGTGGATAAGAATCGCCGGCGCTCGGACGCTTAAAACGGGAGACATCGCGCTGCCGATCGACACCTGCGTCCCGTGGTCCTACCCTGATCATCGCTGGGGGAGGGGAAGCGAAGAGGGGTACATCTCATATGGCGCATCGCGAAGAATCGGTGGGTTTGGATTCTATTTGCGGTTGGATCTTGTTGCTCTGAGAATATTCTTTACCATTGACCTATTTTGGTCGCGTCGCTATCATTTTATTACGTTTGCTTGATTCTATATCTGCTTCGCTGATAGGTCCACAGCACGCGCTGAAGGATTACTGTAATTGGGATTTTTGGCCTTTGCCACTGCAATCAAGGAGATTAAGTACTGTACACGGTATACTGGTATCGCCCCAGAAGGTTCAAGTTCTTAGAGATTTCCCACGGGGAACTAAGTCGATCGTAGGCTTTGCTAAACTACTCTTAACCTTGGACCAGTATTGATTGTGGTTCCACGGACCTGTGCCTTAAGGGTGTGGCTGGTGGAATATCAGAAAGGAAAAAGAGCTACATGCGATCATCCTGAAGTGGATGGGGGGGGACCCTTAAAAAACTTGTGAGTTGCAACGTCAGTCTGGAACATGTACCTGAAAAAAAGACAAAAAAAGAGATATATTATGTCTTGGCTTTGATTTTTAAATCCGACCCAGGAACCAGTTAAGCTAGGTGTTGAACTAGTATATAAATCGACCTAAAGGAATTTAAGCAAATATTCACACAATGCCTGTGAGAAAAGGAGAGTGTCTACGAGTACTTTTACGCCATTCTTGATCTTGAAAAAGATGAGCAGGTGTGCATTTAAAAACCCTTCGGTCCACTCACTCCACTGTGTGTCAAGAATTGCATCATCGGTTGCCATGTCCATGTTGATCTTCTAAAAGGCGGCAGAATCTCACGTCCAACAGTCAGTCAAGGCGCAGTGTTCATATCACAAACTCACACCCAAGCTATCAATCCTTGTACCACCCCATTTTAAAACCTGCCACGGCACTTATACACGCATGCATGTCCACATATAAGAAAAGTGGTGCCACATTCCTTCGTACCCGTCGACCGGCTAAACGCTTGGGCAGAAGAACGAGAGAAAGAAGCAATGCCAAGAATAAATCCGAGCGTACACGGACTCTTCCGCTAGCCTTCTAGCCCGCTCAACTTTGTCCGCACTTTGTCCGCGTTCTGTCCGGCACCGTGAAGGAGCATTCTGCCTTATTGGGTAATCCACCTGACCGGCACCGGAAATACGGGCTCTTCGGAGTCTCGGATTGAATCGCCCTACCGCCCGCCGATCGTCAAGTGGAGTCGAAGGAAGTGGGTCTGGCATTGAGGGTCTCCATGGCGTTATTCAATCAACACTCAATAACAGCGCAGAATCAAAGACTACCCGTTGGTCCACTCCCAGCGCCATGGCCACATGGTTCTGCTTACTTATCGTAGGTTTGAATTATCTCATTTAATTTTTTTTTTTTTTTACCTTCCGTTCCACGGAAAGAAGTTTTCTCGAAGCGGCTATTCCGCGGCTCCATGCGCCCTACGAGGTATATCTTTCCCGTTGCCGAACTACCGCGTAGAGAACACCAAAGGGTCTTTTGTGGTTGCTTGGGTGTATAGATTTGAAGACTCAGAGGGAATCATACGTACCGCGTGCATTAGTTAGCGCATGTCTGGTGTAGTATGTACGAGTACATCCATTGATGCAATGAAAGCTTTCAAAATAAAGCAGGTTGCCAAAGCGGAGTGGAAAAGCAAAGGAAACGGGCCTGCAGAAGAATCCGTGACTCACAAGAGGGGTACCTTGATCGGCTTGCAGCACTATTAGGGAGCTGTGCATGAGGCTTGACCAGGGCCACAGGTGCCCCCAGCGCTTTATACAGGTCCTCATTTGCGGCGTGGGCTTATGCAAAATGATGTGTCCGGATTCTGGGCTTTGTCTAATGTCTGAAAATTGCTATTCCTACGGAGTACGTGTCACAGAAAGGAGTGAGATATTCATCGTAGTTACAGGACTATGTAAATCCGGTGGGTCTAGATCATCGCACCCATGACGATACTCATTTCGTCGCAAGGACCCTTCCCGCGTCATCCGTACCTGGCTATGTCGCGTTTTCATAGACCGCTCTAACCGATGCCTTGGGCAACTGAATTCCCAAAGAACAATGATGGCAAAGAAAGAAACTCATCCAGGGCTGTTCTTGCTCTGGTTATCCGAATTTGCTACGAACCTACATATTCGTTTAAACCGCCTCGTTCGGCGTCCCTGTCCCGTTCCGCGCGAGCTCCTGCCGGCCTATCCGGTATGAGCTTCCTGGTCTGGTGACAATCCACAACGGTGGCTACTGACCGCTCACGGCCTTTGCTTGGCAATTTATTTTTCTTTTCGGAAATCGTGGAGAATGAGGATCGGTGGGCGTGTGAGCGCTGCTTATAAATTGCGTTGGGTCCCCAGGATGCGTTGCGAAAGGGCGCATATACACTCCAACTCCCCCCCAATTCCACTTTTTTCCATACCATTTTACCCTCCAATCTTCCCATTTTACTCCCCATACTAGAATCCGAGCTTATATACTAAGTTTTGCTACATAATGGGGTCGCAAACACTCGTGGAGACGCCGCGCCATCCTGGGCGCACTGGCCGTGGCTCTGAAAGCGACAGCTCCCTCGATGAAATCGCGCACGAAAAGCAAAAGATCTTCACAGCCGCGCTGGGAAAGAATGGAAAGGACGATGACAATTCAGCTTCACCAAAGCGCTGGAAATCTTTCTGGACTTCTTTCCGCTACCTTGCCAACCTGACGCCAAAGGAAGTCGATGACTTCATGGCTTCATATGTGATCTATAACCTCGATTGGTCGAATGAGCAGCAGATGAGAGAGGTCCTAGGTTCCAATTATCAGGAGAAGGTTGGCGATTGCTTGAAATCATACTACGGAGTCCTCAATCACCTTTGCGCCCTGGGCGACGTTGAGAAGATGTACATCCCACCATGGATGAGTCGCAAGGCCTCAGTCTTGGAGAACCAGATTCTTTACGAACGCTCAATCGCGCAGGATATCGGCCTATCCGCCGGCGACAAGGTTCTTGATCTGGGCTGTGGCCGCGGTCGAGTCGCCGCGCACATGGCGCAATACTCCGGCGCACAAGTAACCGGTCTGAACATTGACCCGAACCAAGTCGCGCAAGCACACCAATTCAACGAGGAGCGCGGCTTATCCAACAATTTCGTCCAACAAGACTTCAACAGCCTCCCGCTCCCCTTTGCCGACGAAAGCTTTGACGCCTTCTACCAGATCCAGGCCCTCAGTCTCTGCAAGGACCTGCCTGCCCTCTTCACCGAGATATACCGAGTTGTCAAGCCAGGCGCAAAGATCTCACTTCTGGACTGGATGGCCCTACCCGCCTACGAGCCCACGAATCCCGAACACGCAGAATTGATGCGCCGAGTCAAGCCATTGATCGGTGCCGTTGGCACCCCCACCCAGGAGAGTTTGGAGCAGGCGCTAACCGGGTCTGGCTTCGAGATTGTCAAGTCTGAGAACGCGAGTATCGACGGCCTACAGGCGCCCCTGATCGATACCGTTGACCTTTACTTCCGTACCCTGCGCCAGTGTATCCTCGCCATGGTCAAGCTGCACGTCCTACCCCGCCACTTCAAGACCCTCATCAACCGCCTGTGTCTGGATGGCCAGGCTTTCGTCAAGATGGATAATATGCGCCTGGCAACGACGAGCTATAGCATCATTGCGCAAAAGCCGAAGGCTGAATAATACGGGGTAGATTGCGTGAAGCTTTTTGGATGCATATAATAATACCTTCACGTCGGTGTGTGAGGTGAGGCTGTGGCATGATGGGCTGCGACAGATGCGAAACGTCAGTTACGTCACTGCCTCGGTTTGCTTCGGCTTCCCGAGCCGAACCAGCCTCCCCTTCCTCCGCCCGTGGGTTGCCCGAGCAAGACTCGTTGTCCATCTCAAACATGCAAAGACCCTGTACAGAAATAATAAAACATATAGAAAGGCTGGGCGTCATGGTTGATTTTTTTGGGACTTCAATTTTCGGCTTTCTTCTTCTGTTGCGATTGTGTTTTGGACTTGTTCTGGGAGTTGGGTTTGGAGTTCCCTTGGGACAATGCTAGCACATTTGCATATTGTTTATAGCATATTCATAGTTCTA